CGCGTACAGATGACACCGTACCCCGAAACTCCGGATGATCTCCCCCAGCGGCTTCATGCAGATGTTAAACAATATGGGAAACAATATTGAGCCCTGAGGAACCCCACAAGACAATGGTTGTGGGGGTGAACAGGTGTCCCCCAACACCTTCTGAGATCGACCCTCTAGGAATGACCGGAGCCACTGCAGAACAGTACCTCCAAGACCCATCCCCGCGAGGCGTCCCAGAAGAATACCATGGTCGACGGTATCGAAGGCCGCTGAGAGGTCAAGCAGCACCAACAGGGACACATTCCCCCTGTCGAGCTCCCGGCGCAGATCATCCACCAAGGCGTCCAAGGCTGTCTCGGTACCATGTCCCGGCCTAAAGCCAGACTGTGCCGGGTCTAGATAATCTGTGTCTACCAAGAATACCTGGAGTTGTGAGGCCACCACACATTCCAAGACTTTGCCCAAGAAGGGGAGATTGGAAACTGGCCGATAGTTGTCGAATTTAGTGGGGTCCAGTGATGGTTTCTTCAACAGCGGTTTTATTATAGCTTGTTTTAAGCTCGCTGGAATCTTGCCTTCCCGAAGGGAAGCATTAACTACCACCTTAACCCACTCAGCCAATCCCCCTCTGGCCTCCTTTAGAAGCCAGGATGGGCAGGGGTCCAGGATGCATGTGGTTGGCCTCATTCCTCCAAGTATCTTGTCCACATCCTCGGGTTTCACCAATTGAAATGAATCCATCAAAACTGGACAAGCAGGTGCTCGTGTTACATCCTCAGAGACTGCCATTAACATGGTATCCAGACCAGAACGGATCAAAGCGACTTTGTCTGCAAAGAACTGAGCAAAAGCTTCACTGCAAGAAGTTGAATCGTCAGGGTTCCCACCTTGAGCGGAGGGATTTAAAAGGCCTCTGACAATTCGGAACAGCTCAGCCAGACGATTCTTTGCAGACACAATAGTGGCCGCAAAGAAGGCCTTCTTTGCGGCTTTTATTGCCACGGCATATGCCCTTAAAAAGGACACAAACCGTGTTCGATTTGGCTCACTCGGATCCGAACGCCACACACTCTCTAGTTCCCTCTTCCTTCGCTTCATTGCTGCCAGCTCCTCGGTGAACCATGTTCGGTGAACCATGTTCAGATGGAATCTCCTCTTTTGTAGTTTGAAGCCATTGTTCCATTGTGTCCTAGTCTCCAGGGAAGCAGAAAACAAGCTTGCTCTCTCCTCTTCCCTGTGGCTTCCTCTCACATATGTATACATGGCTCTCATCATATCTCCTTTCAGCCTTCTCTTCTTCAGGCTAAACATGCCCAGCTCCTTAAGCCGCTCCTCATAGGGCTTGTTCTCCAGACCCTTGATCATTTTAGTCGCCCTCCTCTGGACACATTCCAGCTGTCTTTGGATGTCAAAGTGTAATAAGAAATTGAATGTGCAAATTTGATAAATGTGAATTTAATATGATGTGTGGGAATGAATGGAAGGATGTATGAATGGAGTGAATGATTTTGGAGACATCAGTAAAATATGAAGGCCTGCAATCACTAACTACCTGCTTGCTGGATTTGCTAATGAGAAACCCTGGTAAGAACTGGGAGAGCGATAAAGGAAATGTTTGCAACCTTCCTTATGTTGAGAAGGAAGTCAACACAAGCCTTGTGTTTGTTAACACCAATCAAAAAGATCAACACTGAGATGGAAGCCAGGACGGAAGACGTCTATCATTAATTTACAACTTTGGGACGACATCGATAGAATATGCCTATAAAAGGCTCAGCCTAATAATGCTCAAAGTGTGACAGACAGAGACACTGTTCACCCGCCATGCTCTGCTCCATGGGAAGGACAGGAATGGTGTATTCGGAGAGTGGCAGATCTGCACAGGAGCAGTCTGGTCACTTTGGGGCTTCTCTCTCAAGGGAAGAGGAAGAAGGAAGGCGCTTTTGGAGTCTTAGATTTTGTGCAGGGAGTCAGGTCCTGTTGTATGGAAAACAGAGATCTGGTCCTTGGCATTGTTCTTAGGGAAGAAGCTTTGGCATTTTGAAGTTATGGCGTTATGGAAGTATGCGTTGGCAGGCTGCAGGAAATCAGGGTCTGGCCTAAGAGGTGCTCCTCCAAGGAGGGAGAAAAGGATATGGTAATATTTGGATGCATGTGGATGAATGCGTGTACATGTGGGTGTGAGTGTTGAGTGAAAATGCAACTCCCCTTTGTTTGTTTGTTAACCAATGTAATTGTACATCCAATGTAGTTGCATGGAATCTGTATGTCTAAATGTTTTTCTGTAATCTGATATACCTTCTCACACTGGCAATTGCAATAAAAAGATCCCATGCTTCAAAGTTATTGAAAAGTCATTCATGACAAAAGCATCCAAAAAATTATTCTGCATGTTGTTCAAGCAATTTGACAGCGCAAACCTCCTCCAAACTCTGCCAGACTCACTCCCAGGGCGCCTGGCATCCCTAACGCACACATTGGACGGAAACGAGCACATTTCAAAACATATCAAAACATAGCGTGCAACCGGTGCCATGCAAGTGCCCTGATTTTCCTTGACACACACACAGACACCTATCTATCTATGAACATGTTGTTCCGGTAAATCCTTGCAGGACACAAGTATGTGTGTGAAGACAAAC